ATTCAATTTTAGAAATCAAAAAAATTATTAATTAATTAAAATTTACAGAATATTATGACTGAGTGTGAACTTTTCACTTTAAATAAAAAAATTATGAAGATTAATTTTATTTATAAAAATAATAAAATTATTTAACAATTAACCATTTTCACTAATCAAAAAAATAAAATTAATAAACGACACCCAGTTGCACTAAGGGGAAAAAGAAGAAGAAAGTAAGTCAATTAAAATTGAAAAGATCAAAATAAAATTTTTAAACAAATATATGAGGTGTAAGGTGTAATTAATCCTGCATATTGTGTTTAATTAAAATAAAATTTATAGTGTGCACACATAAGGTATGCATAATAATGCACATGGGACATGAGGAGCGTGCTAGCACAGCACACATGTTGTCCTAGGTATATTTTGGATCATTTAAATAATTCATATTATAAGATTTGTCAAGCATATTATTTAAAATAAATAAATTAATTAATCGGATATGTGTAACCCAATGATCAAGTCCTAATTATTTTAAAATAAATTATCAAAATTAAATTCTAACTGCTTTTTTTTTTTTTAAATGTGGTCTTATTTTGAAGTTACAAATATCTAATTAATTTAATTTTTTTAATGAATTATTTACTCGACAAACCGTACAACATGAACAATTTAAATTAACGACATATGCTCGAGACAAGGCCGTATAGGCCCTCACAGCACGACACACTCCCCAACTCTGATGCGCATGCCTTCCAATTACGATAAGATATGTGCAAAATTACGATGTGATATGTTTAAAATTATAATTCAAATACATTATATCATAACTCTAACTCGATAAGTAGTAACTCAAAATTATGCTCCAATATGTTTGGTTATAATAACAACTATTAAAAGGAATTGTAATTTCGTTTTTAGATATTTTGTTATTGTAGAGTAGTAGTATGTGTACAAAATTAAAACTCAAAAACATGAATATAAAATATATTGTGTGATAGACATTTATTTCAAATATAACTCATGTAAGATGTATTTCAATCACACGTTGCATTTTTCATACACATTTTGTCTCTCAATTATGTACATCTAGTATTATTGTATGTTGTAAAGAAATTAGTGTGTGCACCTTTTAATTAATGAAATCTTAAGTAGTAATTATGGACAACAATGTAAGAAATAACTAGAAAACCATAAAACATTATCTCCGCAAAACCTGTATCAGTGGTGCTTTTGTCATTAAGATGTGTCTATAATTCCAACTCAAGCAAGGGATTGGAGCACATCCTCAATTCATGTTTACCCACAAAAGCCCAAAAGTACACTTTCTTTGTTTCTTTCCTTTTTTAATTTTTTGTTTATTATTTGCTTTATTATTTTGGCAATCCAAGAGTGATGTGAATAAAGCATATACATATCTCTGCACAGAAGTTTCTAGATGAGAAGGAAAACAAGAAAAATGAAAAGAATTTGAGGGCATGGGTAATAAAACCAGGGTTGAGAAAAATAAAATAAAGAAGTCACAAAATAAACGTATGGCGTGGCCCGCCGACACAAGTGATGGGCCTCACTATCAACATCACCTTTTTCGTAGATTTTTTTTTTCTAAAAGAAAAATATTAAATATATAAAATATGAAAAAATAATTATAAATAATAAAGTGCAAGTGAAATATATGCCTGATTCATGACAAAACTCTTACCAACACTAAGCATGCTCATGTCTTGTTTTATGCTTTTATCGATATGCACTTTTTTTTTTTTTTATCATTTATCTATTATTTTTTTATTTTTCTAAGTATATGTTGCGAAGCTAATTAGTATATTACCTAAAATTGACTGAAATGTATAGACATTGTAATAAGTTAAAATTTTAAGATAGTATTTGGTTTACTCAGATAAAATTATTATTCTGTCACAATGTTTATTTTCATGTTTTGTTAGTTAAAAAAATAATGAAAAATATATTATAAATAGTATTATTATTTTCCAGTGTAATAAGATAATCATTATATTTTATTCCACCGTATTACAATGAATCAAATATGTTATGAAATGGATAAAAATTAAAATGATTCATTTTTTTAGCAGCAGGGGACAAAAAAAAAAAAATTCTATAGGTGTGGGGGGCAATAATCTTTAACATATGAATTAAATGTAACTTTTGATGAGAGAGAGAAAGAGAAATGTAAACCATGCCAAATTATAATTGTTTTTTCCACAGGTGATGAGTAGGGGGACAAAGAAGAAAAAACAGTGTTGGGCTTAGGGCCTTTGTGGTCATCATAACTTTACCAAACACAGAGAGATGTGTGGGTAAATCCATCATCACCCCACCAAGAAACCCTTACCCTTTGAGAGACTGATCATTTCTTTGTATTCACAATTGGCCTGCAAATTGCAAAATCCAAATTATGCAGAGCAGAAACCACTTTGCTTTGCTTCCCATCCCTCAACTTTTAAGGTCCAGTAGGGCAGCTGCATATCATGCTGATGGCTCATTGACATCACAATTTCAACCATGTCTTTTGGGTCCCATTAGAACCCCAAAAAATGCTCACAAAGAGAGATCATCACTTGACATGTGGCATCAACCTTCACAAAGTTGGGTTTGGGTTTCAATAAAGTTTTTTTTATATACTTGGATTATATGTTTTTAAATCTCTCATCCTCTTGTTAAATATACACTTAATCATCAAATTATGCCATAAAATTTATGTGTACGTCTTAGAAATTCTTATGTAATTCATACTTGGAATTGTAGTAAGACAGAAAAAAATTTGAGAACAAAAAATCTTTAACTCATTTATAGTAATAGAATAATAATTTTGACCGAGTTCGAATTCTTTAGAGTGTTTTTTTCTAAAATGATTCTAAAGTCATTTTTTGTATAATTGTTATACTCTCCGATTCTGATTATTGTACCTTCAATTTTGTAAAATGGATTCACAAATTAAAAAAAAAAAAAAAAAAAATCACAATAAAATTACTTTACAAAAAATCACATTATCTGACCAACCGACCTATAGTCGGCCAATTGAACAAAATTAATTGGGCCCAAGGTTCTACTAGGTCAGGTCAGGACTCACCTCTTTGAGAGAAGTAAAAGATGGAATTTTCAAACCTATATTAATTAAATTGTCCGACGAGGATTAGTGATAGTGACATGCATGTATTAGGGCTATGAAAAAGTTATCTACCAAAAAGAAATATTTTAAAATATATTATAAAAATTAAATGTATATAATGCAAATATAAATTAAGGATTGTTTTATAAATTAATTATTTTAGTTAATTTTTACGAAAAGATATATAGAAAAATTAATTTTTTTTAATTAAAATAGCTAATTGTCAAAACAAGCCTTAATATAAGATAAATCACACAATCAATTTGATCAGCTCATTTTATTTATTTATTATAATTTTTTTGGTGTTTGTAAAATTGAGATGTTAAAGGTTAATATTGTGGAATGTAAATAGATATTGATGAGTGGGGTTAAAATCTTTTTATAGGTGTTGGGGGAGGATTGATGGTCCTGATGGTGATGGTGATCATGATGAGTATGCCCTGGCTTGGCACGCCGTTCTTCTTTTGAGCCAAGAGAGAATATGAATGATGGTTCCCATTGCACGCCCTCTCTCTCTCTAAAACCAAGGCTAGCTTTGCACAATTTTCAGAGGAAAAAAAAAAAGAAAAAAATGGAATAAACCCTGAATTTGGGTATTTGTCACCCTCAAATTGCAATGATCATCTTTTATCCTTTTGCCTTCATACACTCTACAAACTCTTTGTCTAAATGATGAGGTTCTGCCCATAGATACATTGCAAAATCCCCAATCATGATTTTACTTGCCATGTCTTCTCCTCATGACATTACATATCTCGTATAACTCACATGTGGATAAGATCATGGATTCTTTTGTGTGGTTTCACAAATCTATTTGTAGTAGTTTATTTTAGTTTATTTAACAAAAAAATCTATTGTTTAAAAATCAATTTGTTTTGTTAATGTCAATAATTTTATTTATTTATTTATTTATTTTTGCTGGAATTTTTTTTCCCTCCAAGATTACACATGGTGATTTGTTGACTATATTTGAAGTACAGAAAAATAATGTTACAATGATCATCTGTTTTTATCATTTTATTTTATTATTTGATGTGTTAGTCAAAAATAACATAAATATAATGTGTACAAATTGGACATTATTTTTTTTAGTAATTTTATGGTCTTAGAAAGAGAATCAAGAAAAAATATATATATATATGATTGACATTTAAAGTTAGTGTTGTGAACTCATAACTTAAGTAACGCTAAGTTTGGGGACTTTAAAAAAAGTCAAAAAGTCAAAAAGTTACTCAAAAAATTAAAAAGTTAATACTATTCATCAAAAGTCAACAATTACGGCTGCACAACTCGCAGAGCAGAAACCACTTTGCGGAAAGGGAAAGGGAAAATGTGTGTGAAACTATGTGAAATATAGGCATGATTTATTCACATTTCACCTACCTTTTCCATTTCTCTTTCTAAATCCCTCTCCAAATCCCTCAACCAAACACAGCGTAAGTAAATCTAAACCATTAATATAAAATTCTAAATGTTGTCTAAATTTTTATATCTAGAATTGTAATATTGCTCACTGAGAATATAGAGAGATTTCACTTACTTTGACCTTTGAGTCACACAAACTCTACCGATTCATATGGTATTCCATACACGTAATGGCACAAAGGTTTGCACATCTCTACATGCACATATGATATATCATCACTTATATTCTTCATATACTGAATTAACAAGAAAGAGAGAGAAATCACGCGGCCGAATCAACCTTAGAAATCTCATCTTTTTTTTTATTTTCTTTTTCTTTTTTTACACCAGTTCCGAAAATCCACGAAGATATTATTATGCTTTTTGTAGTGTCGAAGATACCCACTTCCCCATAGATATCCAAACTCTTTTCATACTCTCTGTCTCTCTCTCTCTGTCTCTCTCTCTCAAACTAAAATCATTGCTCTTTTTCCGATTTCAATGCCACCTTCCCCTTCTTATATTCTGCACTTGCCACTCACTTCTCTTCATCTCTCTCTCTCTCTCTCAATCTCTTTCATTCTCTCTAGTAGTAAGTGGTGAGGCATTTTGAGTGAGAAAAAAAAAATGGGTGATATTTCTAATTGCTCTAATGGCATTAACAATGGGAATGGGAATGGGAATGGGAATGGGAATGGTATTCATGGAAATGGACATTCATCAGTGGGAGGTTATAGGAAAAGTTGTTGGTATGAGGAAGAGATTGAAGAGAACTTGAGGTGGTGTTTTGCTCTCAATAGGTACTTTCTCCCTTTGCTCATCCCTTCCATATGGTTCATTTCATCAAGTTTCACATTTATTTATTTAGTTATTTTTATTGCTTGTCATTTGATTTAGCAAACAACAAGCATATTTGATGCATTTGTAAGGTGTATATTGTTTGCACAAGATCTAATCATACAATCAAACATAACCCTCTAACGTGAGGTAGAATTTACATATTTAACAGTTTTTTAAGGTTATGTCTAATTCTGTAATTGGATTACAAAATAGCTTGTCAACCCCTAAGATGAATTTTGAGGACAAATATTTCTTTTTTATTTCTTTCTATTTTTTTTTGGGGTGTTGGTGGTGAATATTTTGTGAATAAATATCATTCAGCGTGTGGTTTCAGTTTTCTGAATTTAATTTTTTAAAAATTGAATTTTTTTTTTCGTATTTTTTTATTTTTAGTGAATATATTTTAAATTTTAAGCAATTTTTTTTTTTTAGTTATACCTTACTTAGATGTATTTAAATAGTAAAATATTTTCGAAAAAAATATTTAAAAAAATTAATCAATACACTAAAATACAAAAAAAATGTACTGAATTTTTGTATTTTTTTTTTTGCATTTTTTGATATTTAGTGTATTTTTTAAAGATTTTTTTCATAAATATTATACTTTTTAAGTGTATTTAAGTTAGGTGTGTTTAAAAATTTAAAAAGTTACTTAAATTACTAAAAAATATTCATTGAAAATATTAAAATACGAAAAATAAAAAAATAAAATTTTCTAAAAACCAGAACCAAACAAGTTGATTATATTTCTTTGTTCATTGTTTTCTTCCCCTTATGATGGTGGTTTGGTGGGGGAAATATATTTTATGTTATTTCATGTTCAATTTTATGTGAAGATTCATGAACAAAATCATGCAAAAGGCCTCATGAAGGCAAAAGAAGCTACAATGGGTCCATGAGACTCAACTAAAAGTTGGAAGCTGTCTGCTACGTGTTTTCCAGATTTTAAGTTTATCCCTTTTGTACCTATGCTTTATATATATTATAATGGTATTAACATTAAAATATATATATCATCAAAAGTAGGGAAGTTTCTATTTTGCCTTTTTCAAAATCTTGGTCGCGTTAAAGTCAGACAAGTTTAGTAGTAATGAAATCAAATTAGCCTTTTATAACCAAGTTCAACCAGTTAATAATTTTTAATGACTTCTCTTCCCTCCTTTTTTATATATTGTTTATTATTTATTTTTTGAAGTTTTTTGCTGCAGTATTTTGCATACAGGAGTAACTCAGTACCAGGACATTCAACTTTTGGATACAAAACCCTTTGGAAAGGTTTGCAATTTATTAAGTTCTTATCGTAAAGAATATGATGAAACTATATCTAGGTTGCACAGAAAAGCGCAAAGAAAATTACATTAAAAAAATCAATGTATGACTCAGATTTTTACAATTTTAATGATCTTTCTATGGACATAGCATTATTGTTTTTCCTATGATTATGCTAAATTTTCTTGGCTTTATTCCATAACAGGCACTGGTTATTGATGGAAAGCTTCAAAGTGCAGAGATAGATGAGTTCATCTACCATGAATCTCTTGTCCATCCTGCACTTCTTCATCATATAAAGTAATCTGTCAATTTCTTTTTCTTTTTTTTTTTATAGTGAATATCAATAAAGGTGAATCAGAAAACAATTGCAAATTAATAGAGCACAAGTGACACTCTGAAAAACTGTTCCAATTTCCACTTGCACCCCATTGATTTGCATTCATTTTCCCTAATTTTGTTGAAGTCAAGGATTTATGCATGTATCTAGATACATACTCCTGCTAACTTACATACATGGTCTATGTATGTTCCTCACTATGTAAGGAAGCAGTTGTGCTAAGAACACAGAATGAATCATAGAATAGTTCACAAAAGTGCAATGAAAGATTGAGATTAAACCCAATTATAGAGGGATCCACATTCAGGTTAAATCTGTGTCTCCTATTGCACTTTTTGTGATCCATTATTTGTTTTAATGATGTGTTCTTAGCATTAGTGTGTAAGTAGATGTAATTATCTATATGTATGCATTTTCAGTCCAAAAACCATCTTTATCATGGGAGGAGGTGAAGGTTCAACTGCAAGAGAACTACTCAGACACAAGACAGTAGAGAAGGTTATCATGTGTGATATTGATGAGGTAACACTTTCCCCCAAGTTGTTTATGTTACCTTTTCTACTCGGATAATGATATACAAACAAAATTTATACAAAAACTTTATACAAAATGATGCCTTGTGTATATCAACTTTTTCCTTTCCACCCCTTGTGTTTTTCTTGTCAACTTGTTTAATTTTCCCTTTTTTTTATTTCTTGTTTACCTCTAATAACATGCCTAGACCCACTTTGTAAACAAAATGACTAGTAACATGTTTTTCTGTCATTATGACAAAATATTCTCCATTATGTTAAATGTCAACTGAATTTTGCTTTTGCTGCTTTGCCTGAAATTCTTTTTGTCTTTATGACTATTAGCACCATAGATAAGATTACAATTACTGTAAAGTAACTCTTTTGACTGCGCAATTAGTAAAAATGCGGCCTTTATCACATTTGAGAAGAAAATTAGTGTGAAAGAATAAAAAAAAGTACTTCTACTACAATGCAGAGCGAAGAAGGGGGGGAAAATTTTGCCACCTATTCTAAATTTAAAAGTTATGTGATGCGCACCCTCGATAATTATGATACATTGTGGTCGAAGCTATGACTCGATATGGTTAGATTGCAACTCCACATTGTGTTGTAGCTCTCCCAACTCAATGTGGTTGGGTTACGATACAATGTGGCTGGCAAACATGCCCATTGAATCATGACTTCGACCACATTGAATTGTAATAACTTTTGAAGGTGCTCACCATAAGGGTTGAGCTCAATAGATTAAAAAGTACCACATTGGGTACTGATTTTGACATTATTTGCGCACTACAAACTAATCTTTCTAAATTATCTATATACTATATTGCGCAGGAGGTTGTGGATTTTTGCAAGTCATACTTAGTGGTGAACAGGGAAGCTTTTTGTGATCCCAGACTAGAGCTCATTATCAATGATGCCAGGTCCCTTTCTTTATCCATTTATACTTCCTACAATTTGCTAATGCTTTTGTTGATGATGATAGCTTGTTCTTGCTTTTGTAGTCATTATTTATTCAAGTAATGATGAACAAATTGAAATGCATTACAAAAAATGTCTACATAATGATATGACAGAATTTTGAGTTTATCGGCTTAAAACAAAAAAACCCACCAAGATGCTTACTAATAAATAAATAAATAAATGTTACTGTCACGTCATTCCGGTGAATGATTCTATACGAAAATTTTGGAAGAACAAGATTTTTTTTTTCTTATGGATTCTTATGGTGTGTGGTAGGGCTGAGCTTGAAAGGAAAGAAGAGTGCTATGATGTGATTGTTGGGGACCTGGCAGACCCAATTGAAGGAGGCCCATGTTATAAACTCTATACGAAGTCCTTCTATGAATCCATTGTTAAACCAAGACTTAATCAGAATGGCATTTTTGTCACACAAGTATGTGTGCATATGTGTCTATATATGTATGCCTTTGTGTGTAGACACACAAACACACACACGGAGAGAACCAACTAATTTATGTTTTCATATACTGCAGGCAGGACCAGCTGGAGTTTTCAGCCACATAGAAGTTTTTACTTGCATTTGCAACACTCTAAGGCAGGTTTTCAAATGTAAGTAACATATGAAAAAACAGAAGCCAATCCCTACATTTACCTCTTTTTTTATTTTGTTCAAAAGTTCTAGAGAAAGCCCAATTTCGTAGAAGATTTTCACAAAGGGATAAAGATATGAGACAAGAGGTGACTCTCACACCTTTGTTTAACATCTATATCTCAGCATGTGAAAATCCTATGTATTCTTAACATAGTTGAAACTTGAAAGTTCTAGGATGCTTGAAAGTTTATCCCATATCAGCTTGTGGGTCCCGTTCATTTTTATTTACTTCTTTGTATTTTGTTTCTTTTAATAATAAGTGAGATCCACAAGGTGATGAGGTTGTTTTCTACTAAATTTTGAGTAGAAGCCAACTGGTTTTGATCTCATTTCTTTTCATGTGCAGATGTTGTGCCTTATTCAGCTCATATTCCTTCCTATGCTGACATTTGGGGATGGGTCATGGTATATATATATAATATTTGGACTTTGTTCACCTTTCTTAGAAAATTCTCCCATTACTTTTTCTTTCCTGCACAATAAAATTAACCTTATTTGGCTGTCTTTTCTTTTTCTTCATTTTTGTTTTTCATGTTTTTGGAAACAAAAACAACAAAAAGTTTGAAAATGCCCACTGTTTTCATTTTGTGGAATTTATTTTTTTCAAAAAATTTGAAACCATAAAAAAATCATCAATAAATCACTGGCCTTGTGATCAGCATTGATACACCTTTTGTATCTATTCTAAGACAAATTAAGCTTAAATAAGAACTAACTATCCTAATGATAGGCGTCAGATTCCCCATTCACGCTAAGTGCGGATGAATTGGATCTAAGAATGAAGCAGAGGATCGAAGGGGAGAACAGATATCTAGATGGGAAAACATTCACATCAGCGTCCACATTGAGCAAAGCGGTCAGAAAATCGTAAGTTCGAATCACAATTTCTAACTCATTTGCAAGTAATTGAATTATCAATTTCAGAGTATAAGCTGCCAATTACAAATTTAAAATGGGTATTAACAGATTGGACAATGAGACTCATGTTTACACAGAGAAAAGTGCAAGGTTCATATATGGTCATGGCAAACACAATCAAGCTTGACTAGCAAAGAGAGACATATGAGACTACTACAATGTTGAAAACAATCTTCCTCTCATTTATGGTTTTCTCTGTTTTTTCTTTTCTTTCCTTCTCTTTTCTCTTCTCTTCTTTTTCTTTGTTTATGGTTTATTTGTTTCTCCTTATGTAGTTACTTCAAAGGAATGATATAATGGTAATGTATGATCTGGGTTTTGTGCTCAGTTTCGAGATGTTTATGGAAATCATATGACCTGACTCTCAAATTGAAAATTTATTCAATACACTCCATTGCAGTAGTGGATGTGATACTCCTGATCAATAAGGTCGCACAAAAAATAAAAAATAAAAAGTGGATGGTTCGTTCTTGCTTGTCTCCTACCCAAATTCTCTTCTTGATTTGAAAGTAGAACATTAACATTCTGAGTTGGTAATCCAAAAATACTAAGAAATTACTCCTACAACTAAGAGTCAACACCTACTAAATTTGATTAAAGAAAAGATATTGTAGTATGATTTATTCTTGGACCAATTTCACAATTCAGCTAACTTAACAAACAAACCATTCTCGAATTCGAAGTTTAATTGTTAAAGTGAGTAAACCTTAAAGAAGAAAGACTACACTGTTTTTCTTTTTTATTTTTACTTTTTTCCAAAAAAAAATCAGATCAATTGTACAATTCGGCTGATTAAACAAGCAAACCATCCTTGAAGTTTAACAGGGCAATCCTCCGAAAGAGAGATAAAGTAAACAAAACAGATACTCATTTAATTATCACTCAATATCATTTTATATCATATATTTAAGCGCTTGAATCATCTATAAATGACATCGAAGCCACGCACAAATTGATCCCTATTCTTTTTTCTTTTTCTTTTTCGTTTTTGTGTCCAACGTGATTTAGACCCAATTGTCTTTTATTCCACAGTGGACCTAATAATTCTTTCATGAACAGTGGCGTATGAACCATTTAAAATCATTCTTTCATGGCAGAGACGCCTAAATGTACCCCCTAAATGGGCCCTATGACCAATTTGAAATTTTGATAAGTCAAATTTGAAGAGTAATTTTTTGGTCCAAACAAGTTTGAAATATAATTTGTAAGCTCAATTTGAATCCCCCTTTGGGAAGATCATCTTTAAGCCTTCAAATGAAGCATATTCAATGGATCATGTCTAGTCTCATACTTCAATTATTTTCTATGAAGAAATTGATAATTAGATATATATATATATATACAAAAATTGTAACTCATACATAAAAGTAGTTTGTAATTAGAACACTCATAAAATTATATTATATATAAATTTTGTTTGTATCACATTATTATTATTTTTTTCATGTCCGTGCACATAGGGAACCATATTTGAAAACTTTTAATATGGATACATAATACACAACATATGGTATGTTTTTTTATGTCATAACAAAATATAATCTGAAGTATGTTTCATAATTGAACTTCTTAAACAAGACAAAAGGACAGGAAAATACAAGTACAACAACAAACAAATACTAAGCAATCACATAATCAAACACACATACATATGATCCCCACCTCACAAGTCATACACTTGTTTGCCAGTAAACTTGACCTCAATGGGGCTCGCATTCTTTCCAATCGACCGCATATTCAGCCCGACACCTTGTCGACCCGGGTTCACCTTCTCCGGGTACACTCCATCCTTAGGGTGCAAATATTGTACCTCCCCATTAGGGAACACCCTATAAAATTGGTACTTAATCTTATATTTGGACCTAAGTCTAGTCCCAAGTGCCAAGCACTGTTCTTTCCTAGCCAACTTGAGTAGGTTTGGGCCTTCTCTCATTATGGCTGCACCACCAGTGGGCATTTCAAATATTTGTTCCTTTGGGGACTCCCAAGTGATCACATAAAACTCTTCCACTTGGGCTTTTCTAAGCAGGCCCCCAGTGCTGCCACCAAAAATTGGTGATGGGGTGCTCGGGTCCAATTGCGGTGGGGTGAAGCCCACAGGAGCCTCCTTCACCGGTGCTTCTGCCTTTCCCTCAGCCGCCGCGGCCTTAATAGTCCGCGATGGCATGCTGGATCTGGCAGACTTGGCACTGGTAAAGGACAAAGTTGACGGTTGCTTCCACGATGAGATGAGGCGGTCGCCGGAGTTTGGGGTGGACAGTGTTGGGGTGAATAGGGAAGCTTGGGTTGCCATGGCCATGGAGAGAGAGAGAGAGAGAGAGAGAGAGAGAGAGGAGTTGTTAGGGATAATGGGTGGGTGGTTTGTGGGGGGTGTGAGTGAACAATGTCATACGAGAAAGGTTATTGAAGAGTGAGATTGGGAGATTTTTGGATGGGTGGTGGGTGGAGCGGAGGATTTCAATTTGAGTAGTGGATAAGGTGATATGGATTGGACCAATTAGAGTGTGTGATTTTGATTCCTACTCTTACCCATACCTCACCTTTGTTTTCTTCCCTTGCCATGTAAGCCGTAAATGACTCAATATCTGGAAAGAAAAATATTTAAAATTGTTTTTAAGGATAAAATATCAATAAATTTTAAAATGTAATCCTTTGAATTATTTACCCCTCTCTTTTTTTCTTATGAATTCAAAGGTTTCATTAAAGTAGAAATTATGTAAAAAGATAGTCACTTGTATGTTTGAATTTAATTTTTTAGAGATAAAATTGAATTTTTTCAAATGTAAAATTACAAATTTAAACAATTTGCACTATAAAAATTTTAGATTTTCACTCATTCAACAACAAATCCTACATTACCAACAAAAATATAATACTCTAATGTAAGAATATAATAATATAACAGTCTAATGTAGCACACTAAAAAACTCTTTGATGTACTTTTCTCAAACGTAGCAACGTAACATTAAAAAACAATTCCTTAGTATACTTTTCCTAAACGTAAGACTCAAAAAAAAAAAAAAAAAAAAAAAACCAAATATAACATTCCAATCAATGTAATCCCAAACATAACACTCCAATATAACACACTCCAATATAACACATACAAAAATATTAAAAAATTCTTTAGTGCATTTTTTTCAAATGTAAAATTCAGTTTGAAATTATACATTTGCGAAAACTTACTAAGGAATTTTTGTAATTCTTTTAGAATAGTTTTTCCACATTTTTTTTGAGTGTTACGTTTAAGAAAAGTACAATACAAAATATTTTTGTGTGTTATATTAAAGTTTTATACTAAAAAAATTTTTTTAAATATTATATTGAAGTGTTATATTTGAAAAAAAAAAGTACGCTAAAAAGTTTTTTTTTAATGTTATATTAGAAATTTTTTCGAAATGTTACGTTTGAGAAAAATATACTAAGAATTTTTTTTGAAAAAAAAAAGTACGCTAAAAAGTTTTTTTTTAATGTTATATTAGAAATTTTTTCGAAATGTTACGTTTGAGAAAAATATACTAAAGAGTTTTTTTTGTGTCTTACATTAGAGTGTTACATTAAGGAGTTTTTTTCAATGTTACGTTTGAAAAAAAATATATTAATTTTTTTTTTTTTTTGAAAAATCTCATATTTTAAGTCATTTTTGTACTCATTTTGAAATATTTTTCAAATAAAAAATATTCTCATATAAAAATTCATCCCAAATTTGATTCTCATACATGATGTACCTTACCTTTTTAGCACCAAATATATATATATATATAATAGAAATAAAGATATAATCGTAAATTTAATTTTTAAATAATATATTAAATCTACTTTTTCAAAATCAATTGGACTAATTGGTTTATAAAAAAATACTTAGCACTAAATGATTTACTATTTCTTAAGATGGGATTTATAAATAAATTTTTCTTTTTTTATAGTCTAAATATTTAAAAATGAGGAAAAATTTCAATGTAGAGCTTGTTTGACATGATCTAATATAGTACAAAAAGTTAAAAAGATACACACATAAAAAATAAAAGCTAAGTTTAAAATGCTTGAAAAAAGATAAAAAGTCAAAATCATCTTATTTAAGTCATATCACCTCTTTAACACATCACTTCAAACTCAACCCAAACCTAACTCATATTTTATAAAAAATCAAAAAGTATACTTATTTAAATCATTTCAAACAATCTCTAAAATAAAAACAATTATATTTTTTTTAATAATGTTAATGATCTGAATTTTTCTCGCTCAAATATCTTAAAATAACATTATTCTAAGACATTCAAGCCAGTCGGACGATACAAATTCGGCCCACTAAATTTTTTATTAAACTTTTTTTTGGTTTCCATCCAGAGGCATGGCTGAGAAACCTTAGATGGGGAAAAGACGAAATTGCCCTTCTTCGGAGGCCGCCAGCTGCCACATGGCAGCTGCTGAGCTCTATTGGCAGCTGTTAAACCCTATAACAATAAATAAATAAATAAATAAATAAATAAAACTAATTTTTCAGTATATACATGTAAAAAAATGTTGATTTGAAATGACATCACACTGGATGTGAAAAGTAAATTTACAGTCTATTCATTATTTTATATCACATTTTTTTTTAAAGCAAAAAGCTCAATCCACACATATAGGCTTCGTTTGATTTGGATTTCTGAAAAATTTTTGAGAAATTTTCTCTACAAATAAGTTTTTAAAAGTAATTTAATTAAACAAATTTTTTTTAAAAAATTTCTCAAAACTTGTAAACCAAATAAGTTTTCCAAACAAATCTCCCTCTCACACACATCAAATCAATCACTTTTTCCAAAACTCTCTCTCAAAATAATTTTTCAAAATATCTTTCGAAAAAAACCAAACCAAATAACTTTACGTACTTTTTATCTCTAAAACACATCTCTCAAACACAAACCAAACATACCCATAATTTTTTTTTTTTTTTACACTTATTAGGTATCGTTTGGGAAGTGGGTTGACTTTTTAATTTTTTCAGCTATTTTATCCTAGGCTAAAAAGTTTAGTTTGGAAATAATTTTTTGACTTTTTTTATTTTTTTGTGAGAGAAAAATGTAATGATTATGTATTAGATGTGATGTTTTATTTTTTGTGGATAAAATAACTTATTTTGTTATTTTGTAACTAAATTAGTCAAAAAAATCTCAAATAGCTCTTCCCAAATGGAGCCTATTTTAGTTAAAAATATATTTATTTAAATTATTTCAAACAACTTCGTAATATATGTTTTTGAAAAATATTTACAAATAAATGGTAAATTATATATATCTATATAATAAGACACAATAATTTTTGAAAATGTGTAAAATGTATGAGAGATACATTTGGTATTAACGGTATAGATCTTTCCAAACAAAAATAAACGGCTGAGATCAATTTTTTTCCCACCCATCTCTCTGTCTCCCCTCTTTCATCTCTGCCCAAATCCATCCTCTTTCATACGCTTTTCTCTCTCTACCTCTCTTCTCTGCCTCTCCTCTTACGACGACACTGCCACTCACCGACTACCAACCATCTCTCATCGCCTCTTACTATCCTTTCTCTCGGCCACCGACTCTCTTTTCTCACCCTCCTCTTTCGCCATTTTGGCGAAGGAATTAAAAAAAAAATCTTCGATTAAGTGAGAAGAGAGAAAGAGGAGGACATCGTCATCCTGCCCAATCGACGCTGATGTTGATGTCTTGTCCCGTCGCCGCCGACAACGAAGCTGTTCTTCATAAGGTAAAAAGCCCCAATAATAGATTTGAAATAAATAGCTGTCGCAGGAATCTGTGATGTTATGGGTTTTAATGGGTTTCATTTTTTAAATAGGTTTCCATGGGTTTTAGGAATCTGTTTATTTCAGTTTGATTTATGTTTATTTCAGTTTAAACAATCTGTGTTTATTTAGACGCCTCAATCTGTATTTATTTCAGTTTAAATGGGTTTGATTTATGAAATGTTTGATTCTTCAATGAGAAATGAGTGCTAATTCATGAAATGGGTCCTAAATACTTTTGAATTTGCTAAATACTCTTGAAATACTAATATGGGAGTGGGGATACACTCAATTTTCCTAATGTTTTGAACAAATTACACCCACAACAAATTTAATAGGTGTTTGGACCATATGAACAAAGATCAGAATTTTTTTGTTTGTTGAAATTGAAATGAATGTGATGAAATCTTTAGATGAGATTGATAGTTTAAAGATGAAGTAGAAAAATAGTGATATTGTAAGGGGGATAAAAGTGAAATTAATCCTTGGTTGCTAAATGTTGTTTCTTTTTGTTTGTTGAAATTGAAATCTGTGATGTTATGGGTTTTTATGGGTTTCATTTTTTAAATGGGTTTCCATGGGTTTCATTAGTTAAATCTGAAGATGCCCCAATTTAGATTCAAGAATCTATTTATTTCAGTTTGATTTATGTTTATTTCAGTTTAAACAATCTGTGTTTATTTAGATGCCCCAATCTGTATTTATTTCAGTTTAGATGCCCCAATCTGTGTTTATTTCAGTTTAAATGGGTTTGATTTATGAAATGTTTGATTCATTTCTGGGTTCATTTCTGGATTCAAAATCTTAACACTGAAAGGGTGACCAGTGCATCACAAAGAGCACGATGTATCGACTAATTGAAGAAAATGAATATCAACCACATGACTTTCCACTTATAAGGTCACCCACCACTTAAACAGAAGTAAGTAGAACCATTCGTAGTTGTTTTCAACAAACCAAACAGAGAAAGAAAGTTTTTTTTTTTTTTTTGGAATTTTTCAAAGATTGAAAAGGAAAAAAATGCAAAATCTTAACACTGAAAGGGTGACCAGTGCACCACAAAGAGCACGATGTATTGACTAATTGAAGAAAATGAATATCAACCACATGACTTTCCACTTATAAGGTCACCCACCACTTAAACAGAAGTAAGTAGAACCATCCGTAGTTGTTTTCAGCAAACCAAACAGAGAAAGAAAGTTTTTTTTTTTTTTTTGGAATTTTTCAAAAAAGGAAAAAATTGTCACAAATTGTCAAACTGAAAAAATAAAATAAAATTGATATAAATTTTAAAAAAGTATTAACACTGAAAGGGTGACACTAAAAAATATTAACACTGAAAGGTTCATTTTTTTCCTTTAATTCATTTCTGGATTCATTTCAGTTTAGATGCCCCAATCCTTGACTTGGGTTCATTTCTGTTTATCATCATTTCTGGTTCATTTCTGTTTATCATCATTTTTTATCAACATTTGATTTGAATTCTCTATGGTTATTTGCATTGAGATTGTTTGTTCATACTATTGTTACTTTAATTGCTGAAAATTTAGTTAATTCTTTGTGGTTTTGACGGTTTCTGATGAATTGCTTGAGCTTTCTCTATGGGAATATTGATCTTGA